TGAACTCCAAAACTTAATTTAAAAACCATCCACATACCTAAATATCTCGCTACTTTCACTTGTTCCAGCAGGTAACTGTACATTTTGATATTCAAAGTAGGATTTTGTTTTTTATTTAAAAAGCATATTACTTGCGTTTTCGCGACTGAGAACCTAAAACCCTAACTATCTGCCCATCTTTCCAACTCATTAACTGCATTTTGTATTTTATTTTCTACAAATGAAATGTTACGCCCTCTTTTCCATAAAACTCCATCGTCTGCATATAATGACCTTCCTATTCCATTATCAATTTTGTGAAAAAAGTCATTAATCATTAGAATAAATAGAATAGAGCTACTCACACTTCCCTGGGTAGTTCCATTGTCAATTTTTAAAATCTTAGAATATTCTGACCCCTCTCTTACTTGAATTGGTCTTCCAAACAAAAAACTCGAAATCCAGTTATACATCCTTCCCTCTATTCCCAACCTTTCCAATTTCATTAACAACCCTTCTTTCCACAACATATCATAAGCCATTTCTACATCAAAGAAGACTCCCACTAACTTTCTTTATTAATTTGGGCTTTTCTAATTTAATTTCCAAACTCAATATTGAATCCATCGTATTTTGCCCCTTTCTAGAACCACTTAGATATTCTGACATAATATTTCTACTTTCAATCTCATATATCAACCTGTTCATAACCATCCGTTCCATAAGTTTGCATAAATTCGATGTCAGTGCAATAGGTCTAAAATTAATTGGCTGAGAATGATCTTTTCCTGGTTTGGCTATTGGTACTATGACCCCATGCTTCCAATCCACTGGTATATCCCCTGACTCCCATATTTTATTAAAAAGTCTTAAAATCATTCCCAATGATAATTATGATAGATGTTTTATCATCTCATAACAAATATCATCTTTACCTGGAGAAGTATGTTTAACCCTTATCAGTGCTCTTTTTAATTCATATAAACTAAATTTTAGATCTAACCTGCTTCCTGTTGTAATCTTCTTTCTATATATGTGATCATTCTCCTTTACTTTCTGTTCCCTATATTTCC